AAAAAAAAAAAAAAAAAAAAAAAGTCTATGTCACATGGTAATACGTAATACGTAATATTTTTTAATTTCTGAATCATGATTCATTTTTAAGCCTTCCAGCCAAAGTGAAAGAAGAAAATTAAAAGTACCAATCTTGTCACTAGAAATCTATGTTACAAATCTCTATTATTAATGATATTTAAACAAAAAAGACATGGTTACCTTCTTTTTCGACATTTTAAATACTCACTCCCATATCTTTAAGACCAGACTAATGAATTAAACTATGAGTGTATCAATTCTTACTGTACACATTTTGCCTATTAAGTCACTTTTCAAGTATCTGAAAATAATTTCAGAAACCTATATACTGGCCTTTTAACATAAAAATATCTTTTTTAAAAAGCAGCAGCCAATTTGAAAATTACTATTTATGTTTCCCTGAGGCTTGTCTTTTCACTTGGAAAGCTATTTCAAAGAACTTAGGCAAAGTCTGTTAGCTACTCTGTTTTTGCTTACCAACACAGAGCTGCCATATGGGCTGCGAAATTAAAATGGAAATGAGCTAGCTGCTACATCTGAGGCCCTTGCAGAGGGTAAGGGCAAGTTTACAGATGGTCTATAAAACAGCTCCTCCTCTAAAGAGAAGTTAATTTTCCAAAAGATTGTATCATGGCTCCTCCCAATATTCAAATAATCTATAAAGAAATAAAAAGCATGATTAGGTCTTTCTAAATTAGTAGACTTTATTTTTTAGGAAAGCCAGTTTAAGCTCACAGCAAAACTGAGCAGAATGTACAGAAATTTCCCATATACCCTCTGCCCCCAAACATGCACAGCACTTCCCATTATCAATATCCCCTACCCAGAGCAGGACATTTGTTACAACTGACAGACCTACACTGACACATCTTTATCACCCAGAGCCCACAGTGTACATTAGGGTGCACTCCTGGTTTCACACATCCTGTTAGTCTGGACATGGATTCACCACTACAGTGCCATACAGAGTGGTTTCCACCGCCCTAAAAGTTCTCTGCACCCCACCTATTCATCCTGCTGTGCTCATTAAATCTCAGTAACCACTGATCTGACTCCACAGTTTTGACTTTTCCAGAATGCCATATAATTAGAATCAAATAATATGTAGCCTTTTCAGACTGGCTTGATAACATTTCTTAGTACTAAATAATACTCCACTGTCTGGATGTACCACAATTCACCTACTAAAGGTCATCCTGGTTGCAATTATGAATAAATCTGCTACAAACATCCACGTTCAGATTCTGTGTACTCATAAGTTTTCTATCTTCTGGGTAAATATCAAGGAGAGTAAACACTGGATGGCACGGTAAGAGTAGGCATGGTGTTAGAAGAACCCACCCAACTGTCTTCCAAAGTGGCTGTACCTTTTGCATTTCCACAAGTAATCAGTTTATGATGCTCCACATCTTTACTGGCATTTGGTGTTGTCAGGGTTCTGATTTTTGGCCATTCTAATAAGCATGTAGAGATCTCTCAATGTTGTTTTCATTTCCTGATATCACATATTCTTTTCACATGCTTATTTGCCATCTTCTTTGCTGAAGTGTCTATTAAGATCTTTGGACCATTTTTAAATTGGGTTGTTTGTTTTTTTAATCACTGAGTTTTCTGGGTTTGGGGGGAGGTGTTTAACTTTTAGAGACAGGGTCTTACTGTTACCCAGACTGGAGTAAAATGCCACTATCATACCTCACTGCAGCCTCCAACTCCTTGGCTCAAGAGAGCCTTCTACCTCAGCCTCCCAAAAAGCTGAGACTACAGGTACATGCCACCACATCCACTAATTTTTTTTTCAGTTTGTGTAAATAAAGGGTCTCGCTATGTTGCTAAGGCTGATCTCATAAACTCCTGCCTCAAGTGATCCTCCTGCCTCTGCCTCCCAAAGTACTGAGATTATAGGCATGAGCCCCCACGCAGGCCTTATCATTGAGTTTTAAGAGTGCTTAGTATATTTAAACCATAGTCCCTCATCAGATATGTTTTTACAAATATACTCTTCTAACCCATGCCTTACTTTTTCACTCTTACATCTAAAAATGTCAAACAAACCAAGATCATCTAGATATTTTCCAAAATTATCTTCTAGATGCTTTATACGTTTAAGCTTTATATTCAGGTCTGTGATCTATTTTGAGTTAATTTTCATGAAAGGTATAATGTTTGTGTCTACATTAACTATTTTGCACATGGATATCCAGTTGTTCAAGAACCATTTGTTGAAAAGACTATGTTTTTCCACCGTATCGTGCTTGTTTCTTTGTCAAAGATCAGTTGCCTGTATTTATGTGCGTCTATTTTGGGGTTGTCTATTCCATTCCATTGACTACGTTCCCCAGTACCACACTGCTTTGATTACTGAAGTCAGGCAATGTCAGTCTTCTTTCTGCTTCTCCTTCAATATCAAGTTGGCTATTCTGGGTTTCTTGCCTCTTGTTATGAATCAGTTTAGAATCAGTTTGATATCCACAAAATAACTTGCTGAGATTTTGACTGCATTGCCTCCATAGATCAAGCTGGGAAGAACTGACATGGTAGACAATACTGAGTCCTCTAAGCATAAACATGAACTCTCTCTCCATGTATTTGGGTCTTCTCTGATTTCTTTCACCAGAGTTTTGTAGTTTTCCTCATATACATCTTGTACATATTTTGCTACATTTACACCTAAATATTTCACTTTTGGGGTAGTAATGTAAATAATGTGTTTTTAATTTCAAATTTCACTTGTCTATGGTATACAAGAAATCAACTAACTTTTTGTGTATTAACTGTGTATCCTACAACCTGACTATAATTGCTTATTAGTTTCAGAATTTTTTTTTCTTTGTCAATTCTTCTGGATTGTCTACATAAATGATGCTGTCATCTGCAAAGTTGTTTTCTTTCTTCCCAATGTGTACACCTTTCGTTTCTTTCTCTTATTTTATTGCATTAGCTCAGAATTCCAGTATGATATTAAAAAAGCAAAGGTAAGTGGGAACATCCTTCCCTTGTTCCTCAAGAAATAGTATTTTAAACTTAGAAAACCCAAAAGTACAGAATCCACCATGACTACAGGAGATAAAAAGAAGAATGTGTCACTACCCCAGGATCCAAAACAGGCACATGAGCTCTACATTAGGCTCCTTTAAAGAGCAAACAAATGGAATTTTAAAGAGCCAAAGGTCCATGACCATATCCTATCAATGGCCCAAAGAGATCTCTCAGACAGTCTGAAAATCACTACTGAGTACATGCTAAGAAACAGAGGTCTATGCCTGCCATTTTCAAATGTCCAAAATATAGGTTAAAACTAGGAAGTGGGCAAAAGTTGTTTCTGAACATTTAAAACAACTGATACAATTCCTATGTACCAAAGCCTCTGAAAATAACACTTGAGTCCCTCGGACCCTTCTTCAAAACCATTTACAAGGCATAATCTAAGAAGTTCGGTCATCTGGCTTCCTGATCCACAGCAGACCTAAAGGAGTTGGTGGAAAGAAAGGTACACTGTGATAGTGAAGGCCTGACAGCAGATGATATAAAGCCAAAAAGGAAGCAAAATATCACAATCTGCGGATGGCCATAGACCCTCAGAGAAAGATAACTGGTACTATTATCAATTACTCTGGGACAGCAAGAAAGGAATGAGAGAATCATTAGAAAACACAGGAACATCACACACTGCTAACAAATGCTATCAGTAATTCCAAAAGAGGAGACTCGCGGGGTGCAGAGTAGAAGCACAGGTAGAGCTTTTAAAAACAAATTTAGGAGTGGTGCCTGTGGCTCAAAGGAGTAGAGTGCCAGCCCCCTATGTCAGGGGTGGCACGTCCAAACCCAGTCCCGGCCAAAAACTGCAAAACAAAAAAAATTTAGAAGGTAAGGTATGGTTAACTTGTACTTGTAATCATAGCTACTTGGGAGGCTAAGGCTAAAGGATTGCTTGAGGTCAAGAATTCAAAACCAGCCTAGGCAACATGGCAAGAACCACCCACATCTCTTTAAAAAAATATTTGGTATAATTTTATATTCACAAAGTGAATTTTCATTATTATTTTCATTATTCAGATTATAAACTATAAAGAACTGTGAATTCCTGGCTGACAAAAAATTCTCTACCTCAAGGCAGTCTATCTTCAAAGTATCAGTGCTTCTCACAAAGATAAATGCCCAGAATCAGAATAATCAGAAACAGGGAAAAAGATATATAATTTAAAAAGTGGAAAATTTTTAAACCCTTTCTAGAAACATTTTTTCCATAGCATTGTCTGATGTGATCCTGAATACATGTAGAAAAAAATATTTAAGACAACTATACTATACATAGAGGAGGATAAAGGATCTCAAAATGTCAACAGCAGCAGTTGAGATTTCACTGGGGACAGAGCAGTTCTGGCAGCAGACTCCATGGAGAGTAGGTATGCCTATCCACACGTGATAAACTGTCATGGGAACTACACACACATTTTACCACGGGTGACTTTCCGGTTTTGATTCTGCACTACAATTATAACACAGTGGGGGAAAATGGGGGGAATGAATACACAGGACTTTTCTGTACTATTTCTGTAGTTCCCTATAACTCTATAATCATTTCAAAATAAAATGTCTTTCTTTTAATGGTTTATATATTTTTTTGAAAAAGCATTCTGCCTCACACCTATAACCCCAGCACTTTGGGGGACTGAGGTGGGGAGACTGCTTGAGACCAGCCTGACCCCATTTCTAGTAAGAAAATAGAAAAGTCAGGCGTGGTGGCACATGCCTGTAGTCATAGCTACTAGGGAGGCTGAGGCAGGAGGACTGCTTGAACCCAGGAGTTTGAAGTTGCAGTGAACTGAGATGATGTCACTGCACTCTACCTGGGTTGACAGACCAAGACTCTATCTCCCAAAAAAAAGGTATTCTGTCCAAAACCTCTAAAAATCTATTCAACATAAAAAAGGTAACCTTTAATTTCCTGAAAATACCAAGTTAAGTTCTCCCTGCCAGATAAATGCTGGGGATGAGCATACTCATTTCCTTACTTATTGTAAGTATTTCCTCCACTTTTACTTTAAAACCAAGTGTCTTCCATTAAAGACCAAAATAAAGATGACTAAACTCAAATCTTTCCAACTGGCTCAGCTCAGTGCCCATAGCACAGTGGTTACGGCATCAGCCACATACACCGAAGCTGGCGGGTTCGAGCCCAGCCCAGGCCAGCCAGATAACAATGACAACTGCAACAAAAAAATAGCCGGGTGTAGTGGTGGGCATCTATAGTCCCAGCTGCTTGGGAGGCTGAGGCAAGAGAATCACTTAAGCCCAAGAATGTGAGGTTGCTGTGAGCTGTGACACCACGGCATTCTCCTGAGGGCAACATAGTGAGACTCTGTCTCAAAAAAAAAAAAAAAAAAAAAAAAAAAAAAAACTTCCCCACTGCAAAACTAACATTCTCTTTTCTGGGTAGCAACATTTCACAATACCATCCACAACAGCAGAGACAAATACCCTTAAAAAGCCCACAGGACTTACAAATGTAATCCTTCACAGCTTTCTCAAAGAGTTCGTACACGTGCTCCCTGTCCAGGCCATCCTGGGCCATGCTGATCTCGTCGTGGAGCCACTCCAGCCAGAGCTCTGCAAGATAACAGCACTTCCCCATTACCATCTCTCTCACATGAAGGGGCAGGCTGAAAGCAGGGAGATGTCTCTCTTTACTAAGAGATATCAACATGCAAACATTTTATCCACCTTGCACAACCTGGCACAGTTCCCCAAAACTCAATTCTTGAAATGTGAACTAGGCACACAGAAGTTTTATGTTTCCAAATAAGATCAAGTCACTAAAATCATAATATCCTACACCTGCTGGGCATATGTTTTCTCATTCAGCCTTTATCACAATCCTACAATGTAGGTGATAGTGTCATTAATAAAAATGACATCTATCTAAGGATTCAGGACATGCCATGCATGTATTAAGTGTTGTAAACAGAATAGCGCATCTCTTCTATAATGTACTGCAAGACAGAAACCACCATGATATTCATTTCGCGGGTAGGAAAACTGAGTCTTAGAATGTTTATGTATAATCAGCTTAGAATCACATAACTAGTTAGCGGTCCAGCCAGAAATGAAATTGGGTGATCTGACTTCAGCACTTACACTCAGCAGTTATGCTTTGCACAAGAGAGAAAAGGTCAGAGATGGATCTAAGGCCAGGGTTTGCAATTCCTGCCCAAAAGATCTCTCCAAGATTTAACTAAAAAGTTGCTCAGTACATTATGTTTCTAATAAACAAATAAGTAGAAATAACCTAAATGCCTTAACCATTAAGGAATAAATTCGTATATGAAATATTTACATTTATACAAGTTTAATTACAAAATATAATCAAGTATATTTACAACTTTTTAGTTCTGAGAGAATGGGTTAAATGTATCAATACTGGAATGGAAAAGAAAGAAGGGGAGTAAAGTTTAATTACATAGACAATTTCTGTCAGAAACTTAGGACAAATAAATCAGGATTCAAAATGTCAATCGGTGTTGTATAATCACAATTATATTTTGCAAAAAAGCTATAATACAATAAACTAAGAATAGCTGACCTTGAATGATACGTTTTTTCTTTCCACCATGCTATATACTCCAAATTTTTTATACAGAGCATATTCCACTTTCATCACTGGAAAAATACCTACATAAACCTGGCGGCTAGGAGTAAAATTTTAAAAATTTTTAAAAACTAAAAAATATATCCTCCTCAATTCTGTGTATGGAAAAGCAGACTGACCAGTGACGTTTACCTTCAGTCAAGGGAAAGATCTCGCTCATCTTCTGGCGGGCCATCCTCACTTTGGTAAGCTCCCCCTCTAGCCGGAGCAACCTGATCAGGTCCACGTGGCAGTTGTAGTCATAGACATTGATAGACAGCTATAAGGAAAAGAAAACAGAAGTTGAAATTTAAAATGCCATCAACTAGGTTAACTTAGCTTGTCACTATTGATGACAGCACACATATCAGCCACAAACAAAATAAATGAGCTATCTGAGATAGCCACTGAAATGGCAACGTAACACTTAGCCTCAACAAGAGAAAGAGGAAACAATGAAAGAGGCTTTTATAATCAACATAAAGCTATCTCAAATCTGTTACAATTTACCTTAGAAGATACTTGGGTTCTTGCTGAAATGAAAGAAACATTCTAATGAAACAATAAAATGTGTGGCCACAGCAAGTTATTCACTTTCCCAAGCTTCCATTTCCTCATCTATAAAATGAGGATACCACTAGTTACCAGTGCATAAGGATCTCACAAAGAAGAAATATGAAAACATTCTTTAGGGCAGCACTCATAGCTCAGTGGGCAGGGCACTGGCCACATACACCAAGACTGGTGGGTTCAAACCCGGCCAGGGCCAGTTAAAACAACGACAACTGCAACAACAACAACAAAAAATAGCCAGGCATTATGGCAGGCACCTGTAGTCCCAGCTACTTGGGAGACTGAGGCAAGAGACTCTCTTAAGCCCACACGTTTGCGGTTGCTTTGAGCTGCAACGCCACAGCACTCTAGCCAGGGCAATAGCTTGAGACTCTGTCTCCAAAAAAAAAAAAAAAATTCTTTTAGCACATCAGGTGCATTGTAATAGCTCTTTTACTAAAAAAAAAAAATAAAAACCCTTATTGGAGAAAGAACAGCAACAAGTTGTTATCTGTTGAAGCTGAGTGACAAGAACCTAAAGGTTTATTTTTACATTTCAAAGTTTTCAAACTAAAAGTTCAAATAAATGAATAATTTTTTTAAAAAGCTACCATACATCTGAAACAAAGGAAAACTAAAAGAATATCACTAAGCAGACCTGCCTGGATGAACAGCTAAAGGAAGTTCTTCAGGGAAAGGAAAAGGAAGGAAGGACGGCATCCCGGAGCCTCAGAAGGGAAGACAGAGCTGACAGCAAGAGCAGAGACGGGGGAGTACAACAGATGATGCTTCTCTCCTCGTGGGCTTCTAAATTACACGAAATGACGACACAAACATTTTAAGACAATGTTATTTAAAAATGGGGATGGAAACAGGACTAAAATGGAAGATTTCATACTTCACTTAAATGGTAAAACACTGATACCACTTTAATACCCAAAACAACCAGTAAGAAAACTATACAAAGCAATACACTAAAAATCACTATAAATAAATCAAGAAGGAATTTTTAAAAATGTTCAAATAACACACAACAGGGCAAGGAAAGAGAAATAGAAGAATGAGAACAGAGGAAACAAACAGCAAATAATAAAATGGCAGGTTTTAGACCTCACACATCAATAATTACCTTAAATGGAAGTGGCCTTTACATACTCATTAAAAGCCAGAAAATGGTACAGAGTGGATAAAATCAAAACCCAGCTCACTTCAAATTCAAAGACTTAAGTCGGCTGAAATTAAAAAAAAAAAACAGAAAAACACATACCACACAAACATCAATTTAAAAGAAGACAAAGCAGATATATTAGTATCATTTAAAGGAAACTTCAGAAGAAAGAAAACTGTCGGAGACAAAAATGCATAATGATAAAAAGATCTACCAAAAAGACATAATCCTAAATGTGTGTGAACCAAACAGTGCCTCAAAATTCACAAACCAAAAACTAACAGAGCTGAAAGAAGAGACACCTCCACAATTACATTACATTTGGGGACTCCAACATCCACTTTTTATAACCAACAGAACTACTAGACAGATAATCAGCAAGGACATTAAGAACCCCACCAAGTGACATTATCTAATTTATAAAAATAGAATACTCCATCCAACAACACACAATACATATTTTTCTCAAGTAATCATGAAACCGTATCGTGGCCCATACAACAAACCTCAACAAATTTAAAAGAAATGATATCACGCAAAGTATGTTTTCTAACCATAATGGAATCAAATTAGAAACCTTCAACAGTAAGAAAATTTCCAAACACTTGGAAATTAAGCAATACACTTTAAAATAATCTATGGGTCAAAGATGTCTCAAAGAAAATTTTTAAGAACAACTATGAAAATACAGTAAATTGGCTCGGCACCTATAGCTCAACCGGCTAAGGCGCCAGCCACGTACACCTAAGGTGGCAGGTTCAAATCCCCAGCCCGGACCCGCCAAACAACAATGATGGCTGCAACCAAAAAATAGCCGGGCGTTGTGGCGGGCGCCTGTGGTCCCAGCTACTTGGGAGGCGGAGGCAGGAGACTCGCTTGAGCCCAGGAGTTGGAGGTTGCTGTGAGCTGTAATGCCACGGCACTCTACCCAGAGGGACAGCTTGAGGCTCTGTCTCAAAAAAAAAAAAAAAGAAAATACAGTAAATTAAAACAAGTAGGATGCAGCTGCAACAGTAGAAAGGGAAACATGAAGAATGAAATTCCATGTATGAAAAGAGTCATACGCCATAACCTAGTGGGATTTATTCCAGGCATGCCAGGCTAATTCAATATTTGAAAATTATTAACTATAATTTATGTTAAAAGGTTAAAGAAAAATCATAGTATCAATGCAGAAAATGAATTTGACAAAATCCAGCAATCATTATGATAAAAACATTCAGCTAGTTAGGAATAGACAGGAAATACCTCAACCTGATAAAGAGCATCTATAAAAAGCCTACAGCTAACATCATTTGTAATGGCAAACTGTTAAATATTTTTCTCCTGAAATCAGGAACAAAGCAAGGAGGTCCACTCTCCCCACTCTACCAACAAAGTTCTGTAAGTGCTAGCCTGTTTAATAAGACAAAGAAAGGAAATAAAAAAGGTGTACAGATTGAAAAATACGAGATAAAACCAGCCTGACTTGTAAATGACGTGACTATCTAAGAAGACAATGCCATAGTGAATTGAGCAAGGCCAAAGAATACAAGATAAACATACAAAAAACAATGAACATATTGAAAACAAATTTTAAAACACAGTACCATTTATAATCACTCCTATAATACTTAAGCATAAACTTAAAACATGCATAGAATCTGTATGCTTAGAAACACAAAATGCTGAGAAGAGAAATCGAAGACCTAAAAACTGGAGAGATATTCTGTGTTTACTGATTGAAAGACTCAACGTAGTAAATTATCCCCAAATTAACTTATAAGTTTAATGAAACAGCTATCAAAATCCCAACAAGGTTTTCTGTAGACATAGACAAGCTTATTCCAAAACATATATGGGATGGCACAGGCCCTAGAACAGCTAAAAATGACCGTGAAAAAGAAGAATGAAATGGGAGGAATCACTAGACCTACTATGTCTACTACAATGGTAAGTCAGTGTGAATTTGGCACAAAGATGCATAGATCAAGGGAAGAGACTAAAAAACAGGAACAGACTCACACAAATATGCCCCAGTAATTTCTGACAAAAGATGAAAAAGCAATGTAATGATGAATGCAGGAAAAGGGGCCTTTTCAACAAATGATGCTGGAGCAAATGGATATCCATATAGGGAAAAAAATAAACCACAACTCAATCTCCCACCTTATACAAAAATTAATTCAAAATAGATCACAGACTTAAATGTAAAATGTAAATCTAAAACTATAAAATGATAGAAAAACACACAGAAGGAAATTTTCAGCAGCAGTTCTCAACCTGTGGGTTGAGACCCCTTTGGGAGTCAAACGACCCTTTTCCCTTTCACAGGGGTCACCTAAGACCATCGGAAAACAACATATTTCCGATGGTCTTAGGAAGCAAGACACCACTCCTCATGTGTGGGGGTCACCACAACATGAGGAACTGTAATAACGGGTCGCAGCAATAGGAAGGCTAAGAACCACTTATTTTCAGGGTAATAGGCAAGATACTTATGGTGACAAAACTGACCTGTTATTTTGAGTGTCGCGGTGTCAATACGGAAGTTGTGATACACCATAGTTTTGTAAAACATTGCCACTGAAGGAAACTAGGTAAAAGGTACACAGGATGTCTCTGTGTTATTTCTTACAAGTGCACGGAAATCTATAATTATCTCAAAATAAAAAGGTTAATTTTTAAAAAAAGTTTTGGACAAGGTGGGATACAGGGTTACCTTGTCTTACACATAAGACTTCATTAGTATCTCCCTTCCAGCATGTCACAACATTTTAGCAATAAATATTTCCCTCTCCAGAGAGAACAGATCACCTACACTTCATTCAAATCACTCTGCCTTCTGACAACACAGTCTAGTAGCCATTTCATTAAAGTGCAGAATGACAGCCGATGAATGTGACTACTTGAACTTTAGGATAAAAATTTCACAATTAACTAGCTGTGAACCTTTAAATGGAGGAACCATTTGCAGAACACAAATATAAAGGATTACAGGGTTTTGTTCAAGTAATTAGATTTTAAACAAAAATTCATTATATTTCACTATTACAATAGTAAAAGCCTGCTGTGGCTTCCCAGTGTCCCTGGAACAAGGTATAAATCCCTGCCTCTTGTGAAGTCCCCACATGCTTCAGCTTCTCTCTCCAACTACATTTCAAACCACTGGCACCTCAACCACATAGAGCATCTTGTACTCAAAACATACCAAGGTTTCTCTAACCTCGAGGGCTGGGCACCTAGGGCTCCTTTAGCTTAGAAGGCTCTCTCCCGAGATCTTTGCCTGGACGCTCCTTCCTAATTAAACTTCACCTCCCCGGAGGAGCCTCCCCTGGTCATGCTTTTTTGGTTTCTTTCCTAAGGAGCCCCCAACCTGCTGCAAGCTGTTTTCCATTTTAGTATCCGATTCATTTCCAGCATCATCTAAAGAATAAACACTATGTCTGTCTTATGTTCTGCCTATAGTTAGCATCTCTTTACCCGACACATTGAATTCAATAAATACAGGCCAACTCACTCAAGATCACTGATATAAAAATACTAAATAACATCTTAGAAAATAGAAATATATAAAGAGAATAATATATAATGACCAAATTTACATTAGGAAATCAATTAGTCTAATTTTTCACATTAGCAGATTCAAGGGGGAAAAAATATGATCACATCAGTGAAGAAAACGTATTTGATAAAAATGCCCGTACATGATTAAAAATTAGCAAAGTAAGGGTGAACACAGTGACTTGTGCCTGTTATCCCAGCACCATGGGAGGCTGAGGCAGGAGTACTGCTTAAGCTCATGAGCTCAAGATCAGCCTGAGCAAGAGGGAGACTCTGTCTCTACTAAAAATTAGCAAAGAATAGAAAAGCACTTCCTTAACCTGATGAAAATATTTTTAAAATTTCATAATAAACATAATTCCTTATGACAAAACCTCAGAAGTCCTTTTAAAAAACACCACAAAGATTCCCAGCATCACCTCCTATTTAACTCTGTACTGGGTGTCTGAGGCTGGAGCAATCAAACAAAGAAATCAAGGACATAAAGAGAAAAAAGGATGAGAATTCTAACTATTCTCAGATGTTATGACTGTATAGTAAACCGAAACTAAACCACAAACAAATCATTGGAAAGAATAAACAAGACTAACATGGTGAAAAGCATTAAGAGCAATGTATAAACATCAATTACATACAAAAAGACAACATATGGTTCCACTCATATGAGGTACCTAAAATAAGAGAGAGAAAACTAGAATGCGGTTTACCAGGTGATGGGGTAAGGGGAAAGGAGAGTTGTTTAACAGGTACAGAGTTACAGATTTACAAGATGACAACGTTCTGGAGATCTGTTTCACAACATGAATACACTTAACACTCCTGAACTGTGCACTTAGGAATGGTTATAATGGTAAATTTTATGTTATGTGGGTTCTTTTACCAGAATAAAAAAATTACATTTCTATAAAACAGCAAGCTTTAGGGGGAAAAAAAAAGTAATTTTAAATAGCACAAACAACATCATAATGTACCTAGGAACATATCTAACAAAAGTGTGAGACCTATATGGAGAAATATTTTTAAACTTTATTGAAAAATATTAAAAACCTAGATAAACGGCATTATACACCACATTCTAGGATAGAAGATTCATATGGCAAAGATGGCAATTCTCTCCTAAAAATCCTTAAGTTCAATGCCATTCCAATCAAAAACCCAATAGAATTTTTCACAGACCTTGACAAAATAATTCTAAAATTTATATGCAAGAACCAAAACGCATGTGCTGTGGGGGTGGGGGGAAATCTAATGGGATGATTCAAATTACTAGATAGCAAGTCTCAGCAATAGGTTAGACTGAGGAACTGGCACAGGACAAAGTGACCACCAAGAAGGGCCCCCAGAAACAGAGCCATGCAGACAGAAAATACATGACAAAGGTGGCAATGATTTTATCAGCTACAATAGATTCATGACCTAGGACTGTGACTCCCGCCCCCATGTTAAAAAATGAATTAGAGAAATGTGAACTGCTTCGCATTTATCAAGTTACATGCAAAAAGATGATAATCAACTACAAAAGAAACACGACCTCAAGTATTCTTTTTAAAAAATTATAGGTAGTGGCTCGGCGCCTATAGCTCAACCGGC